TTCTTTTCCATTTGATTCTCTGTTGTTCTGGGGTAATATAGATATCCCGATATAACACCTATAGAACCCTTGCATATATCCCCTACATAACCCTTATATGTCCCCTTTCATAACCTTATATATTCCCTAAGTTTCTACGTAACCCTATCCTAGACCCTACACCCTATAAAAAGTTCCGATGTAGGACTTATATGAGCCATAGTCTAAACGGGGTCACATAGGGGAGTAGGATAGGAGAATGCTATTGGGGTTATTCAGGGGGATGCTAGGAGTTTAGACCTAAACCTTAAGCCATGAACCCTAATTAAACCCCATATTACAGGGGTTATAAAGGGTGATACTAGGATTTTCTACTAGCTCATATGAGCCCTGGACTAAATTTGTAGTATATCCCTTAATGGGTCCCCCCCCAAAACCCTATATAGCCCCCTATAGGTCCCCCCCAACCTAAATTTAGACTATAGCTCATATGACGTAAGCAAGCTGCCAAGCTATGCTCAGGCCCGCTGCGCAGCGGAGCTTGACAAGATTGGTCTTCTAGAGCTGGCCGGAATGCTTACGATGTGGGAGTATGACCAGGATATTATATAATCATATATACATATATATATATAATTGTAGACCGGGGTTATCATAGGGTTATATTGTGGATATATAGGAGTTTTTTGTACGGTCATAAAGGGATATATGAGGATTGTTGAGGATATAAAGGGATAGTTGATGAGTAATCAAAAGTAAGATGAAGTGAAAGCACAAGGTGATGGGTACCAACAGGGGTTAGCAGTTTTTCAACCTACCCAAAACTTCCAGCATGAAGGAAAGCAGTGGCAGTCTACGGAAGCTTCAGGTTAACCGGGAGCGCCAAGCCACTGCGGATCCAACCCGAAACGCTCGAAGCTGAGAGGACAGCACCAGGGTCGAAACAGTATTTGAGTGCAAAATAGTGTAGTAATGATACCCCATAATATCCCTAGATAACCCTAATACATACCATTATAGTAAGTTCCATTTTCTTTTCCATTATCTTAATATCAGTCAGAGTCAGAACAGTTACAACAGTAATGAATTCACCGTTTCAGCACGTGTTTTTCTCGCTCTCGTGGATCAGGTGCCCGAGTGTGCCCAAGACATCATGCAGCTCGTCCAGCAAGAGTGGCTGTCTCTAGAGTCAGTCAAACATGAGGCTTACTGAATCAGTGGTTAAGTGGTAATGCCCTGACACCAGCTCTTGGCCGGTGGGAGGTGCTGGCATGGTGAGATTACAATCAGCTGGAAATCCAGCAAAGGCACCATATGCTTATCTGCGCATCCCATGAGCACTTGGGAAGGCTTCACGTGTCCTTTCGCTATGGCACGTTTGTTAAAACCATCTGCGCTCGTCTGATGCATGCGTACATACGTAGACATGTAGTTAGAGGCCCGGCAGGCACTTCCTACCTAGAGAAGGATAAGAAAGGAACAACCTGGCGAAAAGCGGGCAGCCAAGAGGGTACCGACATCTGGTAGCGAATTGTCCAGTATGCTGCGGTGCAAGTTGCTATATGGGGGAAACCCTCTCATTTAGTGCATATACCCATTATGATAACTTCATTTAAATACCTTAACAGCAACCCAGTATGCGTGGTGCCTGCCCAGTCCACTGGTTGTCGTCGTCTCCTCTGCAGCAACTGTGATGACGATGCTCGGCATGGCGGTAAGCCAAGATGACACCCTTTGAAGACTACTGTCCCCTTATTGATTATGTAGGGATATCATTGGGTATGGGGTTTAGGGTTTAGGGGTTATGTAGTAATACTGGAGAAGAAAATGGAGACTACTATATCATATGAGTCGCGGTCAAAATTGCCGTTTACTTCGTTTAGTCTAGGCGGTAGTTGTTACGCAACAATCCTCAAGATCGATAGGGGACGTCCTAAAACTATAGGCTTAATTCATTTAAGGTATGGTTAAGAGAAGATCCCCAAAACGTGGCAATCGATAGGGGACGCCCTAACTCAAAAACCAAGAGAGAACAAGCAAGTAATTTTGAAGCCACCTCATATGGGATACTATAGGGTATATATTGGGGTAATATGAGGATAGTGGAAAAGAAACGCAAGCTACTACACTTGTGGCATGACGCACGCATGCCGGCAAGGGTTTGCCTTGGACACGTACCACAACAGCTTCTGTCATGGGTGACACCTGGACGTCGCCGCCCTTTTGGCCTGTTAGGAACTTTGCATATCTTTGCATGCAGTCGTTCCAGCATGCCCCCACTCGTGACCCTTTGTACAAGATGGAAGACGCCCTTTTCTCATAACGCCTTGGCGTTTTCGATTTGGCGCCCAGGTGCTGCCCTCACTGGGAATCGCCATGAGTTAGCTTTAAGGCCAGCAAGAATTCAGGAAATTTCAGTGACTGCGTCGCATTTACCATGACTGGGACATCCTCACCTGCAGTGAAGCTTCAAAGATGTGATGGCAATTAGTGTCAATGTGAAGTGTTGATTTGAAGCTCGTGGTGTGTGCGTGCTGCCGGCCTCCTCAAGGAACTGTATAGGGCGCAGAACTATACTTGAAGAACTCTAGGAACAGAACTGAGCCAAGAAGCTGAACGCATGAAGCTACTTTGTACCAAATTCTTTCTAGAACAGCAGTACACGCGCAGGCCACACGCAGGCTGCCTGAGGTGAAACCCATTGCGAGGACTTTCCTGGTGCTGTCGAGACCAAGCTGCATGGTGTCACTCAAGGGTTCACGTATCATCCCGCATCATCCACTGGTCCATTGGCGCCGGCTGGTATGTATGTCTTAGGGCTCATGTATACACGGCCGGCTCGCAGATGCATATGCTTGGAAGCAGACAAGGACTTCAGCGCCCGCTCTTGAAGATGTGTGTTGGCCCCGTCGGACTTCATAACAGTGCTATTGGAGATGTGCTGCCAGCGAGACTTGGCTCAGCTACACTGTGTGTGCAACAGATGGTGCAAGAGAGATTTATCGCAAGTTCCAGGCCAGAGGCTTCCAAAGCTACTGCTATTGGAGGTATGATTTGCCCACTAAGGCTTCCAACAAGCAAGTTGGAGGAAGTAGATCCGGCACTGGATGAACCGCTAATGGAGGAACAGGGATTTCTCCAGAGGTCCACGCCGGTACCTTAGGTGGTGTCCACCCTATTGTGGAACCCTGTCCTGACCAAAAAAACCAAGGCTTTCAACGAGCAAGTTGGATGAAGTAGATCCAGCTCTGGATGAAGAGATACCATGCTGGAGCGACACGGACGGGGGCATGTCTGTCAGATCCAGAACATTCCAAGTTACAGATGGCAACTGGCTGCATGTGCTGCCATCGTACATTTCATTTTTTCACGACCCTTCGTCCATTGCAGATGACCGTCCGCAGCGTTGCATTGACCCCAAGCCGTGGATTCTGACCATGCCTTGCTGGCTCCAGATCCATTGCTCCATCATGCCAAATGTCATGCGCGGCGCGGCGGGCCAAATCACGAGTAACACAAGTAGTATCATCTTCGCGCCTTTCCTTCACTTCGCCATGCTCTGCTGTAGTTGCACAGCGCACGAAGTCGTCTGAAACTGGACACATCAAAGGCCGTCCAACAACAGCAGAAGGCATGGCAGTCCAATCTCTCAGCTTCCAGTCATCGTGGTGACTGCTTGAGGCTGGCATTTGAATTTAGTTTCCGCCCCACGCCTTGTGACAACAGGAGGAGGAGGAGGAGCAGGAGGAGGAGGAGGAGGAAGAACAGGAGGAGGAGGAGGAGGAGGAGGAGGAAAAGGAGGAAACAAGTGCTGCCGGTGGATGGGAATTGGGCCTTCTCCTGGACTCACAATTTCCGCCTGGTCTCTGAGATGTGCTCGTCACTGCATTCGGTTTCTTGTATTCAAGAGGACACTCGCCGAACGACGTCGAAGAGCAAGAGCCGGTCGGGATCAGTTCCTCGACAGGCGTGCAGGGAATTAGCTGCATTGATGATGACTCGTGGAAGCCGGAGTCATTGTTGGTTGTAGCGTCGTCAATGTTGTGGCTGATGATTGCACAAGTGGCATCCTAGTCTCACAGAACTAGTAAGTCAGGTACGGCTGTTTGTTTGCTGTTGGTGGCAGGACCCAGAACCACGTCAGACTTCCAAGTCATCCCTGAACTCTATGTCCTCCTTGGTCCAGGCAGAAGATGCTTTTAGTGTCGCTGCTGCGCCAAACATGCTGCATTCCTTCCAGATTCCATGATCGCCGCCTTTGCAGGCCATGATGGATGACAGCTCTCGCTCCAGCTCAAAGAAGACACGCCAGTCCTACTTGTCTGCGAATTTTCCAGAAGAAGCCATGCTGAGCCACTGCCCTGCGATCAGCATGGTTGCGGGGTAAGCGAAGCCAGCTACTAGCAAGATGATGCGTGAACTTGTAGCTGCAAATCTAGCAATCGAAGCTTGCCTATGGTCTTTCCACCTTCCTCAAACGCATTCAATGTTTAGTCGGAGTCGTGCCCAGGACTCAGAAAAGCCTCATAGGCATTCACGTGCAAGTTGACTAATGAATTACTTACAAACATTTGACAAGCTAGACGAACTATGACCAGCCAGAGGACAAATTCGAGCACAGTCCAACCTGAGGCATTGTCTCATTTCCGCCGAACCGCTTGCTCCACGACCACGCAGGGGAATGCTTGTTGAAGTTCATGAAGGCGAGTCGCGCGGGCAGATCCTTGCTTTTGCTAGAAAAGAAGGAATCCAAGTATGAGTGGGATAATTCCTTGAGAGGAAGTGAGGCAGACGCCACAGACGTTGCAGAAAGATGTTGCTGCTCGCCGGAAGAAGGACTACCAAGAGGCACAGGAGCACAAGGCGCGCGAGAGGGCAAAGCGTTGCAGGCCGACATTTTTCATGACCTGTAAGCTGCATGCATGTCAGGCTTTCTGGAAAATTTGGTGAAGAAATTAGTGCAAGCACTCTCTTCCAGGGGCTCCTTGACGTCCCGCATGCGCGGTTTTAATATCACCTTCAGGTTGCCATGGTCACAGGAACCGAGCGTTCGCACAGGGTGGAGGTCTATTTGCATCCTGATGACATCAAGACTTGTACTTGTTGAAAAACCGATGCCAGTGCCTATGCGAGTGCGAACGTGGCATTGCGCGAACAAATGCGCACCTTTTCCAGCATCAGTTGCGGGTTTACTAACAACGTCATGTTGATTTGTGTCCTCCTTCACAGTGAGGACTGTGGGAGTGATCTGAGCAATGGGCTCTCATTTTTATTGGATTTTCTGAGTCATTTGCCCGCCACGCTTCTGGGCGTGGCCTTCCGCGAAACCGCTGTTTGGGATCGCACTGGGTAGACTCAATTCTGATCAGCCTTGCAAAGGCAGGCTGTGTCAACGCTAGTGCTAAAGAGCACTTGCGTTTTTCCCAAGATTTATTGCAGAATTCCCGGCCGATCCTGGCAGTCTTTGTGTCCACTTAAAGCAAGATAAATGTGAATCAATCCTAAACCCTAAACCCTATAGTAAAGAATAGTACAGCTTTGAAGGGGAAGGCTTAGGTCATAGCCTCACCAAACGAGCCCTCGCATACTTGCGCATTACAGTTTTTGAGGTAGTGGTAGTCTCAACTGCAAGAGCAATGCTGGTGGTATAGTAACGGTACTAGAAAGTCTAGGAGTCATAGTAAGATTTGTGCTACAACGGTACTGGCAATAGTATCTGTAGCTGCAAAGTTAATGGTAGCTGCAGAAGAGTACGTAGTATCAATGTCAGTAGAATGTGTGAAAGTTATGGCAACAGCATAACAGTAAGGAGTCATGGGAACAGGGCAATATAGTAATGGCAAGCGTATTTGCAAGAGCAAAGGTAACTTTAATATTTACAGTAAGTGTAGAAGAGCATTGGCAGTAAGAGTGGTGGTGGTACTGTAGAAACTGGTAAGAGTAACAGTAAGCATGACCGCGGATCGACCAGGGCACTGCAGGCTTGTGGAAGTGCCGGAGCTGCGGTCGCAGCTTGAAAACCATTGAGGTGTCGAGAGACAAAAATGGATTCGCTGGCCACAGAGTTGACTGTTGTGAGCATTCTTCATGGAAGGCAAAAGATTTGATCGTGCGATTCCTTGTGGTCATGTCATGTCCGCGCTCGCTGTCCTGCAGGATGGAGCTCTGGTTCCTCTTTGGCAGTTTAGGTGCGGAACCGTGTGATTGCTTCTTACAAGTATGTACACGCCTCTGAGTGCCGATGTTGATCTGATTTTTCCAGAGAACCTTTTGGATGAGGAGTTGCTCAAGCAGTGGCTGCGTGCTTTCGATTGTCGATGGGTCTGGGGGCCTAGCACTGTACGTTGATGACATCATATGTTTAATTTAATATGGCGTCATGGGCATGGGTGACAGTCCGAAGCAGCGCGTTCCTGCAAGGGTGGACTTCAAGAACGAGGATGCAGCAGCCTTCAGCAAAGCGACCAATCAAGGACCGGAACATCAGGCCTGCGCTCAGCTGGATGGAAAATGATGGAAACTCTTAGGTTACGACCATGCATTGAATGAGCACGATGAGACTCTGCGTGCTTGTGGTCTGAAGTTCGCACTGCACTTTGCTGGTACTGAGCAATAACGCAGGCAGTGGACATTGAGACGTCCGTGGTACGAGACAAGTCAAGTTACACGGTATCATGCTGTTGAACTCCTGGCTGGACCAGCACTTCGTCGCCATCTCGGCAATCCGCAGTCATTCGAGAATAGAATTGCAAGGGCTCTGGTGCCAGGTGGACAGAGAAAAGCCTACACTAGCTGGTCTCAGCAGCTGATGGCCAAGGTTTGCAAGGCTCCTGCTTCGACCTGAGGACGCACGAGCCAACCTCAGCAAGGCTGACGTTGCACATGTGCGGGGCTGAGTCTCTTCATTGTACTAGCACTCAGATTTTTGCTTCTTGAGTTGGGCTTTGTGTTGGCGATCTTCCTCCCATGCCCTGGCACCTTCATCAGCCTACTCAGGGGGCTGAGAGGTTGGTAGATCTCCCCGCGACAGACGCAAGCAGCTGAGTGCACTGGCGGGTAACATGTAGGCAGAAGGTCTTCTGCTAAGTGGTTGTGCAAATTGGTTTGCTTGTCAAAGAGAATCACCGTGCTGCAGATGAGCTTGATGCAGCTCCAAGATCCGTACAGAATCTTGGCCCCACAGTGGCCGCCAGGACGTGAACAGTGGGAGGGTCTGAAAATGATGCTGACTGTTTTGGCTGCACTTGCCGGCTGCAATTTCCCTCCTTGCAATCTGGTTTAGCGATTTTGTAGACAACAAGGGCTGCATTTAAAGGCAGAAGCATGCGCTAGAGTGCTCGCCGATAGTTAAACTTAGTGGTTCTTTGTAGGGAATAAGGGGGTATATTGGGGTCATATAGGGATAATGGAAAACAAGGAAAAACTACATTATCGTATGGGGTTAGAGTAAGGAATAAGATAACACATTATTGGGGATTACATAGGGATTATATTCCCTTCAAAGAACCATAAGTCAGTTCTTTGAGGAACAAGCGCGCTCATGCTTTCTCACAGGTAGGCTGGTGTGCGTTGCCCGATGGAGGCCAGCGACCACAAAACCAACTAATACCAATTACATCCGCCGCCAAGCTCTTAGAAGACAAATCCCTACCAATGGTGCGCGCAACAATACCCGTCTCTGCACTGAGTCCTCCATGTTCGACTGACCCAAAGCATCAGCACATGTGCCGAGAACTACCTTTATGTAAGGATAATGGAAAAGAA